GTATACATTTGTCTATATCTATCTCGATTCGTTTTGCCTGTTACAAACAACCGTTATGTGAACAAAGTTATAATACCCTTGTGCACAAGTGCGCTCGGGTATAAAAATTAATTTTTTCTGAGTTAACCCTAGCTAAATGTTTTTTTTTTTTACATCCATTTTATGCGATATACATATGTATGTACATATGTGGTGCATTGATTTATGTTTTACTGATGTTATTGAAAACAGAGGCTTAGAATATGTTTCATTTTGCATTTTATATGGGAAAGAGACAACTTTTCGTAGAAATTGTATAGAATTCTTGAAAATCAATATTTTTCGATCAGACAAGTCTGGTTCTCTTCAGGATACTTTCATAAATAATACCCACTTGTTTATTTAACAATTTTTAATGCTAACGATTTTTTATTGGCCTATCCATTGCATTTTTCGTGGTCTTTGGGAGCTTTTGGCGGATCTGTAAATTATAGTTACTATGAAAAAATTGTTAAATAAACAATTTGGTATTATTATTGGGAATTTCCTGCAGAGAAGCAGAGTTTTCCGATCGAAAAATGTTGATTTTTAATAATTCTATACCATTTCTGCGAAATTTTTTTTTTTCGATATAAAATATATGGACAAGTTTTGAGCGCTTTGAAATGGGCAGGTTGGGGGTAACGTTCAGAAAGAATATCCCATATACATATCATCACTAGACACGAATAAAGGTGCGAGCTCAAAAGTTGACCGCGAAAAAAGACGCATAAAAAAATTCAACGAAGGAAAGGCGCCCAAACCTAGTCGACGGGGAAGAAAGACGGGTTCACTTATTTTCGTGGTCAACTATGTTTGCGGGTGTAATAATATGTACATTCCCCGTCAACTTGGTTTACGCATCTTTTTTGTCAATGCGTCCTTTTCCGCGTTCAAAACAATGGCGCGCCTTTATTCGACGATATATTTTGTTTTATTTTTAAATTTGGGGTAACTTTTCAAGGTAAATTTGGAGCACATATAAATTTTTTGTTATCGCTATCGAAAGACAATTTTCTGCTTAACAACACAAAAAAACGCGAAAAAAAATTTAAACCCGTTCAAAATTACTCTACGTCAGTATACATATATAATATCTCTATGTATTTCTACCGCTGTAGCTCTTAATATAGGAGTTACTGATTATCACTATCTCGTTAAGGTACAAAAGTCTCGTTTCTTCTTTTACTGTATTCATTCTACACCCAAACATCTTTCTTTCTTTGTCGCTATACGCTACTCTCTGCTTCTGATTTTTTCAGTTAGTATATACTTACTTTCGTGAATTCCGCTTCGCCAAAGTTTCTTCTTTTATCTTCAAATCTTCCAGTGAACGCTGCTTTGGAAATATCACTATATCCTGGGAACTGGTGGCGGTTGCTTTCACGCGCTTGCTTCCCAACAACAATGTTGGCTTATGTTTTGTTAGCATGAAGACGGCAGCCATGCCGAGGAAGCAGCAAAGTACTGCGCCTAGTACAGTCAGCGCGATGCCTGTGGGCTGCATGGCATGTGTCAGCCAAGCATTATAAATGACCTCAACATTGGAGCTCACGTGTAGCGATTCGCAGTAGAATGGTGGTATTTTTACTCGGTCGGTCGAAAACAAACAAAACGTATAGGTGGTGTCTGGCAAGAGATCCCCAATAATAGTTTGCTGCGTTATGGGTCCGAAACAACCGAGCCCATATTGATTATAGTTAACAGTCATTTTGTAGTAATCATCTACAACTTTACTAAACCAAATTAAGCCGTAAGATTTAACCGCATTAGGAATTTCCAAAGACACTGCCACTCGCAACTCAGATAACTCCGTTAGATGTATTTGTGTTTCGGGCCACAAAACTTTCTGCCATTCTGCTGTTGATTTACCACCAGGACAGAAACATTGCAAGAGTATGATTTTATCACTAGTAGTTGTTGTTGTAGTTGAGGGTGTAAGTGTTGTTGTATCCGCTAAAGTTGTAGTACTATTCACCTCATGCTCGTGAGAAGTTAGAGGATCAACTATAGTAGAAGTCGCTGGCTTTGAGCTTGTCGTTGGTATTGTGTAGGCGCCTGATATTTTGGTTGAAGTTGTTTGGAGAGTCGTCGTATTCGACTCGGGCTCACCGGGACATATAGCCAAATCTAAAACCGACAAAGTCGCATACTCAGCGGGTGTTTGGCAAATCGGATGGTCACTTTGATATTTTAAAATTATGCTCATTTCGTTAAGTAGTTCGCAAGAGCACTTCCAAGGATTGCTGTGAGCATCGATCACTAAGTCACTATAAATTTGGCGTCGACCGAAAATCAAATGATTCATTGTGTGCAACTGATTGTTGGACAAATTGAGGTATGTCAGTGAATTAGAGAACTGCGAAAATATATAGTTGGGCAAATATTCAATGTTCGAATGCGACAAATCCAAACTTTCTACAATCCACAATTTATCGAAGGTTTCATCTGTGAATGTGTTTGTAAAATTGTTGTAACTTAAGTCGATATGCTTCAAATTGTTCAATAGACTGCCGGAGGCTGTGGTATTGGTGATTGCGGTCAAGCCAAGTTGTAATGTTAATTTTGTTATTAGATATTTGACATGGCCTAAAAAGTCAGCGTAAACAGTTTTTACTGGCTTTGTGCGTTGAATTATGACAAGTGATTTAAAAGTGTTGGTGACATTTTGGAAGATATCCTTTCGTAGCTCTGTCACTTCTAGATTCTCTAAATAAATCTCCTCGAATATTCCATTAGCAAAAGCGCCCGCATCGATATCGGTCACAGCGGATGAGCCGATATAGAGCGAACGCACCAATTGGGAATATTTACCCAGAAAGCCATAGGATATTTTTCGATTCGGGAACCTACTACTATGAAGACGCAGCTCTTCGATGATTGCACAAGTGGTATTCTAAAAACAGTAACAAAATAATGTATGAAGAAATTAAATAAGTTTGAACTTTTCTCCGTTTACTTACGGCAGCGGAAATTGCATTTTCTATGCTACGCTCAATTTGATCAATTCTTTCACGAATACAAACAATCTTGCATTGAATCTGCACGCAGTTGGATGGTAGAGGTGGAGGTGGCGGTGGTTCGTTGGCGTCGGTATTGGGGATTCTGTCAGGAGAAGAAAGAGTAAACAGAACTACTTTAAAATTTAAATTAAATATACATTAAATAAGTAATTTAAAAAAAAAATTAAGACAATCTTTAATAAGTAGTTAATAAAAATAAGAAAGGCCCAACCCTGCAGCGCCTAATGGCTACATTTTTTTGTAGAGCTTGAGTCGAGAGGCGAAAATGGAATTAATCTGTAAAGTAAAATTTTTAAATGTTGATTGTCGATTTTTATATCGGAATCTCATTTTTGTGAAAAGTGCAGAAAGAGGGTATTGAATATAAGCTCATGAACAGCCCTAATGTATTTTTAGCGCGAATTCCGATCATTTGTTTCTTTATGCCCTTAAAACAAAAAAAAACGTGATACCATATTTCTTAAAATTACATTTCCATGTTTATTGCAGTGTTGCCACAGAAAATTTTAGTTCCTTTTAATGAAAAAACTAATGAACTATGTAGTTCAATTACTCTCTTCTTGGCTCTTTAGTTCAAAAGCTCCCCAAGCCTATTATGCAGCATATGGAATGGGTTAGATACGAGTATAACCTTGCCTAATATAAATTGTTGTAGTTTTTCCAATAATTTATCATTTATCAAACGAGATAATATGTGCTCATTAGTTATGTTTACTGGTTTCATTTGATGTTTGCAAAGTCCAATAATAATCACTGTGTCTATGTACGCAAACGTATGTTTGTCTGTCGTGTCTATTTTCTTACTGACGACACGGTAAATCAGATTGATAGCGTGAATGGGAAAAGCATGCTACGTATAAAGGCAATGTCACAGGATTGGGCATTTGCCCAAAATTTGGTGCAAATTTTATCCCAATCGTGTGAATGCACAAATATTTTTCAGTATCCAAATCACGAAAAGCAATTTGTTCAAATTTTTTTTTTTTTTGAAGTTAGCTGTATTGTAGCAATCGTGTGACCACGAAGAAAAAAACTTGTATTCATACGGACCAAAATTAAATAACAACAAAAATAATATTTTAAAACTTGTCAAAATTTGGTGTGGCTATAATTTTTTCGACTACTGTACATAAGTTGACTATGATTACTCGGCCGTGCTATCATAGTAGCACAATGCCACTAATATTTAACTTACAAACAAAATACGGGCAGGAANGTTTATCAGTATTTTTGTTTAAGCAATCCATATTGAAATAAAAATGAAAATAAAAAAATTATTTTGTCAGAATATTTTATTTTTATCAGTGTTTTTGTTTAATCAATCCATATTGAAATAAAAATGAAAATAAAAAAATTATTTTGTCAGACTACAAACTTAAACTTGGAAAAAATAACAGTATTTCTTCTCTAACGTTTTTCAATTGTAACGGGTGATTTTTTTGAGGTTAGGATTTTCATGCATTAGTATTTGACAGATCACGTGGGATTTCAGACATGGTGTCAAAGAGAAAGATGCTCAGTATGCTTTGACATTTCATCATGAATAGACTTACTAACGAGCAACGCTTGCAAATCATTGAATTTTATTACCAAAATCAGTGTTCGGTTCGCTTTACGTCCGATTTATGGTCTACATAATCGACCAAGTGAGCAAACAATTAATGCGATTGTGACCAAGTTTCGCACTCAGTTTACTTTATTGGACATTAAACCAACCACACGAATGCGTACAGTGCGTACAGAAGAGAATATTGCGTCTGTTTCTGAGAGTGTTGCTGAAGACCGTGAAATGTCGATTCGTCGCCGTTCGCAGCAATTGGGTTTGCGAAACACATTTCGAACCGAACACTGATTTTGGTAATAAAATTCAATGATTTGCAAGCGTTGCTCGTTAGTAAGTCTATTCATGATGAAATGTCAAAGCATACTGAGCATCTTTCTCTTTGACACCATGTCTGAAATCCCACGAGATCTGTCAAATACTAATGCATGAAAATCCTAACCTCAAAAAAATCACCCGTTATTAATGCCGGTTCTTTTACAAAAAAGAAATTAAGCTACTAATGAAGGAAATCGATAGATAACAGCGCCTCCAAAATGCCTCCCGGAAGCTTCTTCGCTACCTATATTCCTTCAAGAAAGGACTGGGTAGGGCGGGGTTACTAAGGCCTCCAGACTTCTGCAATGTTTTACAGGTGGAAATAGCTGCCATCAAGGAAGCGGTAGACGCACTGCTAAAGAGCGCGATGGTGCATTAGAAATCGGTAAGGGAATTTCTGACTTCTATACCCATCGCGTCAGAGTAATCTTTAGGTACCTCTTCTAGTTTAGGGGCCGGGTCATAATGACATCGTGGAAAACTGCGTGGCTGATGACCTGGCA